ACTCAGGAGGCAGAGGCAGGTGGATCTCTGTGAGTTCGAGGCCAGCCTGGTCTACAGAGCGAGCTCCAGGACAGGAACCAAAACTACACAGAGAAACCCTGTCTCAAAAAAAAACCAAAAAATATTTCCCACTGGTCTCCACCTCCCAAAGGTTCCGCTGTTCCTGAAAAGCACCACACAGGGCACTGACCTACATGGGTCACGAGGATACAGCCCACAGGAGAGAAGCATTCACCTCAACACATACAGCTTCTTCCTTTGCCCCCAAATCCACCTCAGTTATTTCTGATCACCTTGCTTTTGCTGTGTACTGAATGCTGTTGGCAAAACAGTGCCTCAGATCTCCTAAATGTTTGAGAATCTATACTGTGGGGCAGGGGGGCTGGAACCCGTCACCACTTGTAGGTGCCTGAGCCCGGCTACACCGTGTTGTGGGGCGATCGTGGCTTCGGGTGGAATATTTCTGTGACAGGGATGTTTGCTTTCCTCAAGGCACATGCGTCAACAGGTGTTGGTGGAGGAAGATCCGCCATTGGTTCCCTGGGTGGATCAAGGGCTGAGCCCACGAGGAGGCTCCAGTTGTTAACCTTTGCCAGCAGAGAGCCGGCACTGGCAATGCCGAGCAGTGCGGGCTGCTCTTCCCTGCCGAACATCTGGTGCCACAGGCGAGGAGGAGGCAGTTAGTGCTTTATTCTTTTTTTAGCATCGTGTTCAATTGGCCATGAAGCCAGGGATGGGGTGATTGAATTATAAGAAGGCTGGAGCATTAAGTAAAAATCCAGGAGACAGGGGGTTTGGTTCAAGGTGGGCTCGACTCGAATGGGAGATGGTACGGATTGAAAAAAAAAATTAGTAGAAGAGACAACATCTCTTTAGCTAACAATTCACCTCAGTTAATAATGGGGATGGACTCACTGTGTGTGTACAAGAGTGCATGTGCAATTCTGTGTGCTCCTGTGTCGAAACTCCCTGCAAGGCAACTTTCCCTGGAAAACAGACCAATTCCTCCTGAAGGAGATTTCCTGATTCCTTAACTGTCAGCAGCCCCTGCCAGTGTGGCTGGAACATCTCAATGCCGTTTCTTGGTTTCTTGCTCGTGGCTCTTCTGTGTGTCCTTGTCCTCCTGTCTTGTTCACGTCCATCAGCCAAGCAGGCTGACCCTGTCGCCTGGTGCGGGTGTTAAATCCTGGCTTATTCCGGATCTGTGGGAACTGTGTCAGGCACCAGTGACAGACTCCCTCCGTCAACTGAAGGATGTCAGAAAAGCCACCGCCTCACCTGTCCATCAAGTGTCCCCGCTCTCCTGAGCTGGCGCCACCTCCCGCCTTTGCCTCTCTGGAGGCTTGCCCCAGAGGTGTGCTGGTGAGTGCTTACCAGTCAGTTCCCAGGGCAGGGCCGGAGGCAGAGAAGCCAGACTTGCTTACTGATGTCCATCCCATAAACATTCCGGCCATGGCTGATCTGGGGTAATATGGCGTCAGTAGACCCAGAGCTAGGAGGGCATTTGCTTCAACACTCTGTGTTCAGTATTTTTCTGTTGCTGTGTTAGAACACCCCGACTGGAGTCGGCTTAGGAGAGGAAGGCTTTGCTTTGATTGACAGTTCTGGAGGGAATGCAGTCAGTCATGGTGGGGAGGGTGTGCCTACAGTAACACTGGCCTGGCTGTCAGAGCGAGGGCAGGAAATGTGGCCAGGCCATAAAACCTCGGGGCTGGATCCTGAGGACCTCCCTCCCCCAGGGAGGCTCTGCCTTCCAAAGGTCTCATAGCCGCCAGAAATCGAGCCACCAACTGGGGACCAAGTGTCCAAACACGTGAGCCTGTGAACATTTCGTATTCAAACTGCAAGGCTCCTTCCGTAGTATTTTTGCCACACAGATGTTTTAACCACCGATAACCCCAAGAAACTAGATGAGAGTAAAACGTACAAAGGCATCGAGATGAGTGGCGGGGGGGGGGGGGGGGGAGGTGGATTATGGGTAAGTGCACTATGAACATCTGAGTTCAAATCCCCAGATCCTATGTAAAAAAACAAAACAAAACAAAACAAAACAGGAGTGGTTGCATGCATGCCTATAACCCAGCCCGGGTAGAAGTAGGGGGATTATTTGAGGTGAGGTGGGGGGCAGGGTGTCACTGACCACTAGCCTAGCTCCAGCTTCAGTAGAGACCCTGTCTCAAGGGACTAGGTGGAGAGTGACAGAGTAAAATATCCAGTGTGCTCCATTGCCATCTGTGAATGTGCATGGACATCACACTTTACATATACACAAATGTGCATACATCACACACACACACACACACACACACACACACACACACACACACACACACACACGGGTTGGCTCTCCAGTAGCTGTCTGTGTGTTAATATTTATTTAATTGTAGATTTAAATAATAGCTGTGTTTAATAAGCAACTTGCACGTTTCCTGACAATTTAATGATGGGTTCTAGGCGCAAGCTGGTTCACCCATGCTTGTCAGCCTCCTGAGCCTGGGTCCCCCTGATTTAGGCAGGAATCTGGGGCTCACACAGATCCAGGCACCCACAGGCCTCTGTGGCATTACCAGATGCTGCTAGGAAATGTGCAGATTGTTGTGGGAAGCCTCACTTGGTGCCTGAAGAGCCCGGGTTGCCTCTTTGAGGGGACTCTGAGTTGGCAGCTGCTGGTAAGAATGGGCATGGTTGGGCTGGAGAGGGGGCCCAGCAATTAAGAGCATGCAGCTGCTCTTGCCGAGGACCTGAGTTTGGCTCCCAACACCCAAGTCACAATTGCTTGTAACTCCAGCTCCAGAGGATCTGATGTCCACTTCTGGCCTCTGAGGGCCCTGTACTCATGAGAGCAAAGACACATGTGCAATAATTGAAAATAAAAATAAAATCTAAAAAAAAAAAGAATGGACATGGGTCTAATGGTGTCCACAAGGATCAATCAATCCTGTGTTTGGGCCTTTTTGAGCCCCATAAAATCCTTATTATTTGCTTCCTGCTACAGCTGCTACCAGGTAAGTCCTGGCTTCTCCATCTCACCTCTCACTAGTCTCCAGAGCCTCCTGGTTCCCAAGGCATCAGCCACAAAAGTCCTCAGAACATGGTTTCAGACACAACGTGTCTCAGCCCTGGATTCTGAGTCACGTTCACATGCCGTCCTGAGCTCAGCTCAACTTGAGACTCTCAGGGTGAACCCTATTGGTCAGCCCTGAGCGGAGGACATCACCTACCGGAGAATTGCAACGTCATCTGTGATGTTACGAAACTGCTGGGGCTGCCTTCACAGAGTGCCATGGGCTGCGTGCGCTGTTTTCCACAGCTGTGGAGGCTGAAGTCCAAGGCAAGACGTAGGCAGGCTCAGCTGGTCCTGGAACATCTCTTCCTGGTTTGCTGGGAGGCCCCCTGCTTGCTTTGTCCTCATGCGCTTCTGTGTATGAATTTCTGATGTGGCCCCCTCTTCTTACAAGAGCGCAGACCAGATAAGGATGCTCTTGACCCCATTTAACCTCAATTACCTCCTTAGTGGCCCTTGTTCTAAAGAAAGTCACTTGGGGCTTCAACGCTGGGACTTTCTCCAGGGTAGGGAGTGAAGGAGTAGTTCCTTCACAGGGAGAACCAGACACTTGAAACCTGGCCGGCACATGTTAGTGTGAGCTTCAGCTAGGGACCACACCTTGGCCATTAGGTCATTCACTGTTTGCTACTGTTTCTCCCCTTTCAACAGAATGTTGAAATGTAGAGTGTTCTCGTCTGCGCTTTGTGGCTGCAACGAAACACTGACCAAAAGCAACTCAGGGGAGAAAAGGGTTTAGTTGGCTTATAGCTCCAGGCTATCTCCGTCATTTTGGGGAAGTCGAGGCAGGGGACTTGAAGCAGCTGGTCACATGACATCTACAGTCGTGGGCGGAGAGAAATGAATGCACACATGCCTGCCGTTCAGCTTGCTCTCTCCTTGTCATTCAGCCCAGGGTCCAGACCATGGAATAATACTGCACACAGTCAGGGTGGATCTTCCCACCTCAATGAACTCCATTGAGAAAAACCCTTCACAGGCATGGCTACAGGCTGACCCAACCTAGACAACCGAGACTCTCCTGAGACCCTCTTGAGATTCATTGAAACCCTCTTCCTGGTGATTCCACATTGAGTTAAGTTGACAATCAAAACTAAACATCACACTATGTCTCCAGCCCTAAATGCTTTTTTTATTGAATACAATTTGAGTGATAGTATTTTGGGTTAAGTAAAACATTACTGGAATTGTTTCCATCTGTTCCTAGTGTGGATAGTCATGAACTTAAAGATTACGTCATGGCCCAGCCCCTGGAGAGTAGACAGGGCCACCCCTCATATGGAAAGGGAATGTTGCTCTTACAGTCCTTTCTTGACCCTTTGCCTAGCCCTATTACCTATACACCACCTCCTTTTCCATCCTCCACTTGGCCTCAGTCATTAGTCTACACTGCTGGACAGAGGCAAGGGACCTTACAGGTGATGAGGGGTCAAGGAAGGTGACTTGTGCCCCTCCTTGTGGTCTGGCTTGAGGGCAGTATCTAAGACTCTGACCCTCAGTGTTCACCTCATGTGTGTTTTCTGCAAAAGCAAATGGATAAAAAAGGTCCCCACCTCTTATTCCACCTTCACTGGCTAAATCCAAAGCCCTATTTTATTCTCCTGCCAGTTCCTTGAAAGGAGCTAAGGAGTGAAGAGAAAAAAAAATGTTTTATCTAGGGCCTGAGAGGATGGTTCAGTTGTTAAAGAGCTTGGCACCAAGTGTGAGGACCCCAGAAACCCCCATCAATGCCAGTTGGCCTTGTTGGAGGGTCTATAATTCTCCCTGAGATGTAAAACCAAAATAGGTCCCTTTCTCTTTCCAAGATTACCCTCCTATAAGTATTCCAGTGGGTGTCTAGGGAAAGGCTCATCCCACCACCCACATCCCACCCCGTCCCCAGCCTGACTGGCAGTGTCCACTGGCTCATCACTCATTTCATACAGGGCTTACTCACCGGCTTCGTACAAGATCCTTTTTGAGGTTTATTATTTCCTTGTCTATATACCTAATGTTCTTCACTGTCTTGTCTGCGACCTGATGGGAAGACAGGGGAGGAGAGGGGACATTAACACAGTTGCTCCGGATGGAGTCGGATAACAGAGCCCCTGTACCCCGTGAGACAATCAATATGCAAAGGGAAAAGTTCTACTCCAGCTCATAGATGTGGAGGCTCTGGGCTGTGGCCGCATGGCCCTGTGTTGCTTTGGATCTGTGTCAGGATCGGGGTATGTGGTACAGTGGCTGGGAGGCAAAAGGGAGAAGCCATGCACCCCATGACCCAGAGACCTCTCACTAGGCTCCACCTCCCAACAGCTCCGCACTGAGGACCAGGACATCCAACATCAAAACTGTAGCGATACTTGTCCAGGTTGGAAGGCTCCGGGCATGTGAGTTCATCTCTACATTGGTAGGGGCCACGTGGCACAGCAGGCATGGTAAGGATTCTGGAGGAACGTAGCCCTGAGTTCTCATCTTGGTCTGTTGGATGACTAGTTGTGTGGACTGGGCCCCCAAATTACTTCTTTTTACAACCACTATAGAGGTCACTTAGTCTTTTTCTTTCTCTCTTTCTCTCTTTCTTTCTTCCTTCCTTTCTTTCTTTCTACCTACCTATCATCCATCCATCTATGTATCTACCTACCTATCATCCATCTATCTATCTATCTATCTATCTATCTATCTATCTATCTATCTATCTATAACTGAGAAGCCTCAAAAGTACAGTCCCAGTCCACTGGGCAACACAGACAGATGATGGTGTCTCATGAGATGCTAGTGGGGGTGGGTTATAGTAGCTCCCTGGTAGAACATTTGCCTAGCAGGTGCAGAAACAGCAGCAGCAGCAGCAGCAGCAGCAGCAGCAGCAAGAACAGCAAGAACAGCAAGTGAGAGTGCAGTGGAGCTGCACAGTGACGTCATAGGGCAATGCAGTATTCCTGGGTGGTAATGCTGGAGTCGGCATACCTACTACTCTGGCGGTTGTGTGAGAGTGCTCTAGGGGCCGGCTACATGGTTAAAAGGCTTGCTGCACAAGCTTAAGGACCCGAGTTCAGATCCCTAGAACCCACATAATTGCAGATAGGCATGGCAGTACTCTTGTAAGTCCAGCCTTGAAAGGTGGAGGTGTGGGATCCCCAGAGCAAACTGGGTAGCAAGACTTGCCACATTGGCAAGCTCTGGGTTTGATTGAAAGACCTTCCCTTATTGAGTAAGGTGGAAGAACAATGGAGGACGATTCCTGACATCAGCCTCTGTGTCCACATGTACACACACCCATGTGCGTGTATATATATCCATGTGCATACACACACAAATGCACACATACCCATCGCACCACAATATACAAGTAACCACATGTGCAAAAGGCATACACACATGCACACCATGTGCCATACACCATAATACATACAAATAAAAATTAAAAGATACAGTGAGTGCAATTACATGGGGCACAGGACACTTGTGGTGATAACTGTGTGTTACTGGCCTCCGTGTTTGCTGTATTGCATTTTTATGATTTTGAGAGTTTTCTTATTTATACAAATCCGTTTGCTCTAAGCCAGGCTGCTGTTGTGCTGGCAACAGCCTTGGGTGTCCCGTGTTTATCCAGCCTCTTGATTGTATTGTTTTCCTCCTGTGATGGATTTAATCTGGGGTGATTTTGTTCATCAAGTCCTGAGCAACAGGGATCTCTTTCTCTCTCTCATGCATACACACATATATACAGGTGGGTGGCAGGCTGTACCACCTAGGGTTGTTCTGTGATATCTGTACAATGACTGTGAGACTCAACAATGCATTCCTCAGGTGTCCCCATGGGAAAAGGGTGCACAGCTGTATGCACTGTGCCTACAGCAATCCCACTGACGTCCAAAGAAAGAAGGGAGCTTCCCTGTGAGGATGTCTACCACAGAGGTGTGAATCACCCTGCAGAAACCTCAGTGCCCAGCAGACAGGCATTGTGGGGCTGAGCCACGGTTTGCCCAGACAGACAATGAAATGGTTCAATTCTGTTGCTAATGCTTCATGTTGCTGTAGATGTTTGTTTATTGGCATGAAAGAGTGGCGGTGGGCTATTATTTCAAGGGAAAATGTAGCTTATATGACATAAAGAAATTAGATCATAGAGAGTGCTCATATTTCCTTTGTCTAGAAATTCCTAACCATTTTCTATCATCTCATACAGATGATTTTTTTTAAATTGTTGGCAAAGAATTTATGTCATAATAGAATGATCTGGAAATACAATAAATCAACGACAGAGATATCATATCAGGGTGTCTGTAAGTTAATTAAACAATCATTTTGACTTGGGTTGTTCTTTTCCTAATTTTCTGTAATTTACATGTATTAATTCTAATTAAATAATGGTGTCTTTCATGTTTGTACAACAATTTTGACTAATTCTCTTGATGCAGAAAAAATAGAAATGTTGCAAGCTGATTTCAGTTGAGTTGTCTAAGGTCCTGGAAGTGAAGTGAGTTTTATGCATGACATCAGGCAGGCTCTGGATGGGACCTAAAAGCTCATGCCCCATAGTTCGACAGAAGGAGTGGAGCATTGTAGAGCTACAGCGTGTCGGAAGATCTGGAAAACCAATCAGGGATAGTATAAGAACCCCTGAAAATTAGCCAACGAAGGCCACCCTGGCCACTCTTAGGGCAGGACTAAAGGAAAGGATCCTGAGAGACCCTGGAGTTGGCCTGCCTGGCATAGGCTGGACTCCTGGGAAGCTGGGTTCAGTTGTAGGTGATGAGAGACAGATGGGGAAACCCTGAGCCTTCCCTTCATCCTACCCTCCAATTTCCTGCTGGAACTTTCTACTGTTTGAACCTAGGGATCCTGGGGAATGTAGTTTTTAATGATGGGCTCCTATGTGGGGTTTGAGAAATGGAAATGAAGGCCCAAAGGAGATGGTTTTGGGGTTATGGCATGGGTTTAGTAATTGGGTCATAGCTAAGACAGGAATTCAGCAAGGTGGAAGCGGCCTTGGCTCCAGACCACTTTGCACTAGAAAGCTGGTTCTTGCTTTAAGTGGGTCATCACAGACCGTAACTTTAGATAGCCTTTATCCTTTGATCTTAAATAAGCACTCCCAGTGTCTCCCGTGGCTTTGAGGTACACCCAGAGCTGGGGTCCTTCCCTGTCATTTCCTCTGAATGGCTTTCTGCCACTATAACAAACACCCCGTGTGGCGGCCAGTTTATAAAGAGAAAAGGTTTATTTTGGCTCACAGTTTTGGTCCATGATGGACTGGCCCATGGCTGTGAGGCCATGAGGAGGCAGGCAGTACATATGGTGGAGGAACACAGAAGAGCAAACGTCTTACCCCATGATGGCCAAGGAAAAGAGAGAGTAAGGGAGACACCCGGGTCCCACAACCCCTTTAAAGGGCACACCCCCAAAGACCTAAAGAGCTCCTCAGAGTCTTTGCCCCTTAAAGGCTCTGTAACTTCCCAGTAGTGTCAAACCTTTACCACATGAGCCTTTGTGGAACATTTCAGATCCATGACTCTCAAATATCTACAGCCCTCTTATGCGTCCCTTACTTTTCCGGGAACTGCTGAATGTCCGTATCCTTACAGGCCACCACTTCCTGCATTAGAATGCGTCTGACCTGTGTCTTTTCACCGGGAGGGGGACACAACTCCCAAACAATTCCACACTGAAGAATTTATTCTCATCACAAAGCTGGAAAACATCTTAGAAAATCAGATTAAGAGAAAAATAGGACAGAATAAGTGGCATGCTAAGCCCATGGCCAACTGCGCTCTTTGACTTGGGCTGTGGTTCTTAGCCAGGGACCAACCTTAGGGACAGTTCACTTTACCTGTCTCTGCTCTCTTCGGATGTGTGATTGTCCTTTGGAGGCCCTGGTTTTCCTGTTCCTCTCTGAATATGAGTGGTGGCATCGTTCTCTGTTTCCTAGAAAACAGTCATGTCTTTGCCCTGCGTATGTCTCCCTCAGTAGGTGCCGACAGCATCCCGCCTCTGACAGATGATGTGAGGTGTGCATCAGAGGACTGTGAAAGGTGCATTGTGATGTCTGTGATGGACCAGGCTAAGGTGCATTGTGATGGGTGTGAGGAGGAGGTGGTGGCCTCTTTAGATAGTCACTGTTGGGAGTGATTTGGTTGAAAAGAAAAGGGCTTTGCTTTTCAGCAGGAGGCCTGACTCTGTTGTTTAGAATCTGACTCTGTTGTTTAGATGGGTGTGACTCTGTTGTTTAGATGGGTGTGACTCTGTTGTTTAGATGGGTGTGACTCTGTTGTTTACTGATGGGTGTGAGGAGGAGGTGGTGGCCTCTTTAGATAGTCACTGTTGGGAGTGATTTGGTTGAAAAGAAAAGGGCTTTGCTTTTCAGCAGGAGGCCTGACTCTGTTGTTTAGAATCTGACTGCTGCTGAGAGAGCCACATTCAGAGCCTCAGTTTCCCCATCTGTTCAATGGCGCTCATGCTAATCCTACCAGAACTTTCGCCTTATTTGCTACCCGTTATTCTAACGGCATTCCTACTCAAGTGTGTGATGTCATCTGTCTGCGTCACATTGCAATTCCACTTTGTAAGGCAGACTTGGAAAGGTTTTGAAAAAGACATGCTCAAGTAGTGAAGCCTGGGTGTGGAAATGGGCTCTAGTGACATCAGAACATTTTCTCTTTGTAAAACACTTTCACAACTGTAGCCCAGGCTTGACTTGAACTCATGATCCTCCTGCCTCAGCCTCTCAAGTGCTGGAACTATAGGCATGCACCACCATAGTCAGCAAAATGTGTGTTCTTAATAACAGCACGCCTCCCTCATTAGTGCCCTGCTTTGCATGGTAGGAACTAGCTATTGATTTAGATAGCTTATCCATTGAATTTTTGTTAGATTTCCCCATAAAGATTTCTACGAGGCAGGCAATCAGCACAATTTACTGAAGGTCACGGCCAGAGAGCCAATCTTCTAAATACCTGTTTTCTCTGTTTTATGAAAGGATGTTCCAAACTCATCTTTGTTAAACCTTAAAACATGATCTCCCTGGAATCAGATTA